GAATGAAAATAGTAAATAAACAATAATACAAAACAATAATTAAAATATATGACAAACTCACTTCGAGGAACCAAGTCGCTGCTATCAGGATGTAATCGAAATGCCTTTACAGCTACCTACAGTACTTCTGGATATGTAACGTGTAGAAGGTGGGTTAAACCACGGCACTTAGGCCTCACTAGGCCCATTGTGTATCCTCAGAAAATGATAGGCACCTCCTATCTCATGAGCCAGCCTACACATTTAATGTAGTTGACTACGTCGCCAAGAGGTGTTTCTCTTATATCGGCCGGTGTTAGCCAATACTCACTGAAAACAAATATTCTAATAAATGAGAGCGACTGGCAATCGTAGAGGTTATGTTCAATGGTTTCATCTTTTTGTTCGCACCACTAGCAGGGTGCGGATTCTGACAGCCCCATGCTATGGAGATGCTTCCGTACTTGGCAATGACCAGTCAAAATGCCTGTGACTAGACGCAGATTCTATCTAGTCATAGTCAAGTATTTGTTTGTTGTAGTGTTGTCAGGATAACTTAAAATCTCCGTGGTAACTTAGCAGTTTCTTGTTTCATCCCATCTTTCCTTTAATTTCACAAGTGAATATTCTTTAATTAGGTCTGTCACTACCGATGTTGTCAGTCCAATAGAAGGGCCAGGTCCAAAAAGTATTTGGTTGACCGCCATCTTGGCTAGTGAAACAGCAATAAGGCTACCTTTCGATGTGGCGTCACTTTGTTGCTCCATCTTAAGATGACCATATTGTTGAATGGATACTCTTGCCAAAGCTTCGTGACATTCTAGTACTAACCCTGATTAAATTCGTAATCTGTTCAGGGTAAGTAGTGCTTATCTGCTATCTGTATGGATGAGCATGTTCCTACCAGCGATTTCTTTTGCTGCTATGAGAACCTCCGTGAGCTCCGTAGTCTACATTAATATAGTACAGTGGCGACGAACGGGTGAAAATAAAAGGAAATAACGTGCAAGATGCCTTCGAACGAAGGAACAAGTGCCGGTGCCGGTGTTTCAAATTCGTATATCGGTTGTCTAAGAGTATTTAGTCCGAATGATTGTGATTGGAATATCTACAAGGGACAATTAAATCAGTATTTTGTGATAAATGACATCACGAGTGACGAAATAAAGCGTGGATTATTATTGAACATGTGCAACGAAACAGCGTTTCAATTACTAGCAAGTTTATGTTTACCTACAAAACCGGAAGAAAAACCGTATAAAGACTTGCTTAAAATTTTTGATAAACATTTCGGGAAACCAAAGTTAACGTTTCCAGAACGAGAACGTTTTTATACGGCAGCTAAAAACAGTGACGAAACTATATCAGAATGGGCAGCTAGATTAATGCAATTAGCAGGAAAATGTGATTTCCAAAATGAGCTAAAATTTATATGTGGATTGCCGAAAGGTCCCATAAAAGATAGGCTTTTTGAAGAAAAGTCTGATACACTCACGTTTGAAAAAGCCATTGAGATAGCAGGAAATAAAGAAGCTAGTTGTAAAAGAAGTCAAGAAGTAGTTATAAAGAAAGAGACAGAGGAAGAAGTTTATCAGTTAAGAGGAAGACGGCGAACATTTTATTAAGGTGAGAGAGACGGTACATCCAGCAAAAGCGAGGGAAATGGTAATCGGCCAAATCGGAGCAAGAGCCAAGGAGTCGGCGCAAACGCAGAAAAGTGTAATTGTGAAGTGTGCGGTAAAGTGCATCCCCCACCCTGCAGGTACCGGAATTGTGTGTGTCGCAGATGTGGAGTCAAAGGCCATCTAGCGGTAAGGTGTTTTAAAAATATTGTAAACAACTCTAGATCGGGATGGAAAAATCGAAATAATTATTTAGAAACTGAAAATGATGATAATGGGGAGTTATGTAATCTAAACGATGATCATTTTGATTTATTTAATATAAACGAATTTTCTGTAAATAATAAAATGTTTGAATTTGAACTAGACACGGGAGCCTCCGTTTCGGTAATTTCAAATAGATTTAGAACAGCTAATTTTAAAGAATATTTATTAGAGCCCACTGATAAAACATTAAGAACATATGATGGAAATTCTTTGAAACCATTAGGAAAAATAAAAATTAATATTACTTATAAAAACAATAAAAATTATTTGGATGTTTATGGTATAAATAATGGTGGACCTCCATTGTTGGGTCGAGATTTTTTTAATAAATTCAATCTTTCAGTAAATAGTTTAATTAGAGAAAACAAAGTAGATGAAATAATTCGGGAATTTCCAACAGTGTTCGGTGAAAAACTTGGTTGTTTCAATAGAGGTTATATTCAGTTAAGGTTAAAAGAAGGGGCACAACCAAAATTTTATAAAGCTAGAATGGTACCTTTTGCTTTAAAAATGTTGGGAACGGATACATATAGATTATTTAGGACCCATGAGAAATAAATTCATTTTAGTGGTTACTGATGCATTTTCAAAATGGACGGAAGCGTTTTTTGTAAGCGGCACTACTTCTTTAGGCACGATAAAAATATTAAGAAGCCTATTTGCTCGGTATGGAATTCCATTTGTCATAGTTAGTGATAATGCTCAGTATTTTAGCTCAAATGAATTTACAGATTTTTTAAAAAAGAATGGAGTTATACTTAAACATAGCCCTCCTTTCCACCCAGCTACAAACGGGCAGGCAGAAAATTCAGTTAAGACAATAAAAAAAAACGCTATTAAAATTTTTACATACAGGGATGGTAGATATGGATTTAATGTTACAAAGATTTTTAATGGACTATAGAAATACTCCACATTGTACAACAGGAGTATCACCAGCCGAACTGATGATGGGTAGAAAACTCAGAACTAAATTAAGTATGTTGTTACCTGAAGATCAGGAAAATTTAAATCAAAATTTAATACCTATAAACATAAAAAAAATATAGAAAATCAAATAAAGAATTATTCAGGTAAAAGACAAAAATTATTTAAGAAAGGAGAGGTAGTGTTAGTAAAAGATTATAGAGATGTTAAATCTAAATGGATTAAAGGAAGAATTGAAAAAAAAAATTGGATCAAGAACGTATTTAGTATTTATTCCTGATCTTCAGAAAACGTGGCATCGTCACCTAAATCAAATTTTAGAATATGGAGATTTTATTAGTGATGGTACAACTTTACAACCTAGTGTATCTTCCTCAGCCAATATTGTATTATCGCCAGGAACTCCGACAGAATCTGATAATATTAGACGTGGTACTCGGGTTAGAATACCCACTGATAGATTTTGCTATTATTGCCAGATTCTGGAGGGGGAGAAATGTAATGTATGCACATAAGTTTTGAGTGTACCTCGTATACAGTGTAAGTTATGGGCATGCGCCAATTATGGTCATAAAAGGTGTGCGCTGTAATTAGCACAGTATGTCAGATATGGTAGTAGGTTGGCACGTGCCCAGAATAATTATTTGTATTAAGATATTCACAATAAAATATATCAACCGGACAAACAGTGTTTTCCTTGGGAACCTCACGCAAATAGTGAATATAATACAGGCACTATTACCGCACAGCCCATTTTATGTTGAGGTTTAAGGAATTGGAGTATATTCCACATCATGAGCATTGTTTTGTTTTAGAACCGTCGACGTAAATATGTATCATACCTGCCATTTCCGGCTCTTCTATTTGTTCTGTTACAACTTTATATGGCCTATGGAAGCTATAACTCGGTGAGATAAGGTTCATGTTCGCTTGAAGAAGTTGGTGCGTATCAAGCACCTTTTGCCAAAAACGACGTCTCGCCTCACCAGATCGTACATCAGGTTCTATTCCAACCGTGCAGAGGCGTGTCATTGTCATGAGAACAACCTCCTTGATGTAAATATCACAGGGAGTGAGACTAAGAACGACTTCCATGGCTCTGGTTGGTGTGGTTTTCATGGTTTCGGTTATGTTGAGACATGCTGTTATTTGAATTTGTTCTATTTTACGGATAGCTGTCAATTTTTGGATTTTCGGTACCCAGACAACTGCACCGTATGTTAGCATAGGTCGTATGATGTATATGTAAGTCCATGTGACGACTCTGAGGAAGAAACCCCAGGTGCGCCCCACGGTATGGTGTCATTGTTCATAAGTAATATATGTTTTTTTGACTTTGTTTTCTAATTGTGAGTTCTATGTTTACTTATTGTTAAAGGTGCTACCTAGGTACTTCATCTCTGTTGAAAAGTTTTGTTTTGTGTTTAGGAGCTCTGTAGGTTTTAATTCCATTTTCATCATTTCCTTGTGAAAAGGATTATTTCTGTCTTCTTGGCATTGATAGACAGTGAATGGTCCTTGCACCACTGTTCCATGATTGTTCTCAAAATTCCCTATTTGCAGAATGACCGTCATCAACTTTCGATGTTGTGTAGTGACTGTCACCTATTAAAATAATATATTTGACATAATGAACATAGTAAGAATTTTCTGTCATTGTTACTTTAGTTTGTGTTTAATTCTAATGAACCAAACTACTAAAACTAATTAATTTTCATACGTTTCCCAGTGTATTAAGTTCCCTTGCTTTGGTACATACGAAAACTCATTCAGTTTCGCTTCTTGGGTAGGTATTCTTTGCTGTAGGTATGTTTAGACGGCCGCCTATTTTCAGTTTTTTGACTGACGCTGAATAACGTCACAGAATTTGTCAACCATTGTAGTCAAATACTAATTCAGCATGTTATTCAAGAAAATCAACCATGCATTCTAGAATTGAATACTGCCATTCACTATTTACTTTCACACCTTAACGAAAGTAACATTTGATAATTTTTGCTTCTTGCTCGGTGTTGAATATAATTTGTTAAATTTAATTGTCTTAATAAAAGTTTTGATAAATTATACACAAATGTTCACTTTCAATATCAAGATTAAAATGTTATTCCGTGGAAGTGACTAAAGTACTAAGCCAAAACATTTAAATTTCATCGCCAACTCCAATTATGATTTTTCTCGATATTATTGAATTTATCAGTTACCCACCTGGTATCTTTAATAATGGACTCTGTGAACAAAGATACAGAGGCTTTTACGTTGATAAACTCTGACTCTTCAACTATGCAATTGATAAAATCGACATGATTTAGATCCATATGTGCGAATGTTGCATTTTTAAAAAGAATATTCTTAAACTGAATATTCTCCATGGTCGTGTTAAAATAACTTGAAGTATAATTTTTATTATTGATATATTGCTTTTGTAAGGAGTAATCTTCTTCTTTCAAATCTTTGATTATTGCCGTGGAGAATGTTGATATGCCCATGTAGAGGAATCCCGTCAAGAGATGTAAAGTGGCTAATAATATAGTTGTGCGGAAATGTGTTGGAGATGAAACTCTTTGGAATGCTTCACGAAACTAAAAAGTAGAATAAATAACATTGCTTTAAGATTCTGAATCAATAATCAATATTTTCACTTACTGAAGTAACGCCATGATTGAAAATATTTCTCGAAGGGCTCGTTGATCTCTCCCTGTAGGCACTTCTACTGGGGAGTTCTAATTCCGTCAATCCGTACTGAGTTCTCGTCTTGTTAAGTCTGTGAAGTCTTTGGTAAACAGCCAAGGCCTCTACCTCTCTGGAAGCCTCTAAAAGATACCTAGGGGATTCCGAAGCCCAAATCAGTCCTATAATGCAGCTTATCGTTGGTATAATACTCAAAAGAAGAAACCTGAAATTCAAATAATTTATACAATTTTTAAATATATTTTCTATTTATATCTCTATTTATATTTCTATTTTTAACCGACTTCAAAAAATGAGGAGGGTCTCAATTCGTCGATATAAATTTTTTTTATGTATGTTCAGCTATAATTCTTTAACACTGTGTCCGATTTCAATGATTCTTTTTTTGTTAGAAAGAGGGTACTTCAGGGGCAGTTCCGTAATAATTTGGTCAAAATCTAATAATTGGGTCCATGACAAAATCCTCAAACTCTTCATTTTTTTATGTATATATAGCGATAATTCTTTACCACCTTGTCCGATTTCTATGATTCTTTTTTTGTTAGTAAGGTCACATATAAAGTTTGTCTAGATGTGGTGATGGAATCTGTATGACTTTGAAGTCAGTTTTTTAAAATTACTTTTAATAAAAATAATAAAAATAGTTCCTGAACATAGACAATACCAACGAGTTTTGTGGAGATTTGATCCACAACAACCGCTCTCCATTTATCAGCTAAATTGTGTTACATTTGGAGTTAAATCGTCTCCCTTTCTAAGTCTTCGAACAGTTAAAAAACTCATCGAAGATGAGTCACATAACTTTCTTGACGCCACTGTTCCATTACAACGAGATATGTACATGGATGATTTTCTGAGTAGTTTTTCGAATGTAGATGCAGCTGTTAGGACTTGTAATGAAATAATTTCTTTATTTAACTCCAGCGGATTCCAAATAATTAAATGGATGTCAAATTCCTCGGAATTTTTATAAAGTGTCCCAGAATTTAAAATTAGAAGAACCAAAGGAGTTTGGGGATAGAACCCTTAAAATTCTAGGATTACAGTGGAACCCCACTGTTGATACATTTATATTTAAAATATCAATTTCAAATTGCCTTTGCACTAAAAGAAATATGTACTCTGTTTTTAAACTAAGAGGAGCGATTTGAATTTAAGTTGGCAATTCTGTAGTCTTCTGATTGGTCAGATTACAGTCAGTTTCACACATTACTTTTTAGCATGAACATCAGCTAATAATTGATATTGTTGACAGTTCTGACATTTTATAATTCGATATATCATCCATTACTTAGTTTTTTACTTTATTTCGTAAATAATAGTTCTTCAGTAAGCAATTGTATTGAAAATCTACAATTATGGATCCTTCTACACTGAGTACTATTAAAGGTAGCAATTCCTGAAAAGCCTTACAAGAAAGGGAAGACACCTTATTATTTTACATGCTGATTCTGAAGGTTTTGTAGAAAATGCATTATTGGTTTTTGAAGGTAAAAAGATGGGAGATTACCATGAAGAGATGAATTTCGAAGTATTTTAGAAAAAAATTTTATTACTGATTTTTTAAAACTAAAAATTGATGAATTTCTAACCAAAATGATTAAAATGTAACTAAATATTTAGGCAAATTTTATTTATTAGAATAGAATAAAACTATTTACAAAATTGTTATAACATTTAAAACACCATCTACTACTTTAGGGATAATCTTAATTTGGCACAATGAGTTAACATTACTTTCACAAAAAATATTTTAAAAATACTTAAAATTATTACATAGGTATGTATGAATAGTTCACTTTAAAAAATATATGTTGACATGTAGTGTTATGAAAATGTTGGTTCCAGTTTTCAAAACAAATTCTGACTCAGAAGGCCTGTAAACTTTTGAATGCCTTTATTTGCCCTCTAGTGCATTAACCATGGGTTAACACTAAATAAGCCATAATATCCACATTACTCATAGAAGAGATACCAGTTACTGTGTGATCCACTTGTCATTCACTGATTAACTTTTACTTTTTATACCTATAACAAATTATTCTTAAAAATGTAAACAGATCTTTATATTTTATACTAACCTGGCTACATCTGGATATTCCATTAACAATTTTTTAAATATTTAATATCCATTTTAAAAAGATCATAGTTATTCTCAAAAAGTCGATTTCAAAAGCAAGAAAAAAGTATTTCTGACATCAATCAACAACCATATTGACTTTAATTTGACAGTGACATTTCGTTTTAGACACACATTTCAGATCACAATAATGTGAAATTTGCGACCGTTGTCTGGGACCAATTAAAAAATTACTTCTATGACATTTATTCGTTTCTTAACCACTCATTGGCCGTTCGCCGACTAAGGCCGATAAAGATAATTATTTCATAAATTTTGTACACGGCTATATTTCGAAACTCGCTCTTAGTAACAAATTTAGTTACTTTTTCCTGTGTAAATGCGTCTTTTCAATTCGCTCCTCCTAGTTTAAAAACAGAGTATAGTAGCTCGTACCTTTGATCCATTAGGATTTCTATCACCTTTTTTATTGTTAATAAAATTAATGATAAAAACTTTGTGGGAGTTAGGATTTGATTGGGACCAGCTCCAACCGATCTTGAACAAAAATGGATTAAGCCCCAGAATGAGTTGTCAGATTTAAGTAAATTCGAAATTCCCCGACATGTAGCCATATATCAAAATTCTGTTGTTTCCTTGATAGGATTTGCCGATGCCAGTAAAGTCGGATATGCTGCTGTCATATATGTTCGTTCCGTTAATCCTGTAGGACAGATTAATATATCCTTTCTTTATTCTCAAGCTAGAGTTGCTCCTATGTCAGCAGTTACCCTTCCTCGTTTAGAATTATGTGCTGCAGTTCTTCTATCGAAACTCCTAGCACATTCTCTAGTCGTATAACCATTGGTAACATTTTTGCCTTATCTGACTCAATGATAACTCTTCATTGGATTCAATCTAATCCTAAGAAGTGGAAAACTTTTATTTCCAATCGTGTCACTAAAATTCATAATAAATTAGATCCCGCTCATTGGTATTTTGTTCCAGGTTTCGAACATGCTGTAGATTGTGCTAGTCGAGGTTTAAATCCTATTGCCCTTGTTAATCATCCAACCTGGATATCAGGTCCCTCCTGGTTATATTCTGACATATCTCAGTGGCCGTTTCAATCGTTAAAGTTGCCTATAGAAGAGGATTTTGAGGTTATTAATTCCGAAACTATGATTTGTTTGGTTTCTAAACCTTCTACCTCTCCCTTGTACACTCTGATCGAACATTTTTCTTCGTGGTTAAAGTTGTTGAATTCTACTATATATGTCTTGAAATTTGTCAAGATTTTGCCAAGACAGTCTCTAATTAGTAATTCTCAGTTAAAAATAGCCGAAAATTTCTTAATTCAAACAATTCAGAAACATCACTTTTTTGAAGAGTATAATAGAATCCTAAGTGGAAAACCCTTACAGACCCATCTTCGGCGTCTCAACCCATATATAAAGGATGGAATTATTCGAGTAGGTGGTAGATTGAATAATGCTAAAATCGATTATGATTATCTCCATCCAATTATATTGCCCAAATCAAATCATTTTGTAACTTTATTAGTTAATTATTGCCATAAACTCTATTGTCATACTGGTCCTCATTTGTTACATTCTCTTTTAAGACAAAGATATTGGATACTTTCTGCTAGGTGTCTCATACGTCAATGTGTCTGGAGATGTAACCATTGTTTTAAATTTAACCCGAAACCCACTTTTCCTTTTATGGCAGATTTGCCTTCGGAAAGGGTGAATGAAACTAAAGCACTCTTATCTACTGGCGTAGATTTTACAGGTGCTTATAATATTACTTTAGGACGACGAAGAGGAATTAAGTCGCAAAAGGTTTGTCTATTCGTCTGTTTAGCTACTAAAGCAATACATTTGGAACTAGCATCTTCGTTATCCACCGATTGTTTTTTAGCAGCCCTTAAGAGATTTTTATCTCGTCGTGGTAATATTGCAAAATTGTTTTCCGACAATGGCACAAATTTTGTTGGTGCTAAAACCCGATTAAATGAAATACATGAACGTCTTCGATCCCAAGAATTTAATGATGCTTTTCAAAGGGAATTAATCCTAAATAAGATTGGGTAAAAAATGGCCCTACGGCTAGCCATTTTGGTGGTCTTTGGGAAAGCAATATTAAAAGTGTAAAGATGCATTTGTCTAAGGTCATTGGATCTCCAAATTCTGAATTATGAAGAATTTATAACTGTACTTACCCAGATTGAAGCATTACTAAACAGTAGACCCTTATATATTTTAAGTGATGACCCTCATGCGCCAGTTGCTTTAACCCCCGCACATTTTTTGTATGAATGCCCCTTAAATTCATTTCCTTCTGAAAATGTACCAGAAAATATACATCCTGGCAATCGTTATAAACTTTTGGATACTTTAGTAAATCATTTTTGGAAAAGATGGCACAATGAGTATCTCTCTACCCTACAAATTCGTCAAAAATGGAATACCCCATCTAATCCAATTAAAGAAAATATGATTGTTATTATTTTACAAAATAATTTGCCTCCTTTGCAGTGGCCTTTACTACTGTGAGAACTCAGAACGGGACCTACACTCGTCCAGTTGTCAAACTTTGTCCACTTCCGAATCAATAAGACAGCAATATTGTTTAATTTTGTTTTGTCTCGTCTATTGTTGAAATTATTTTTTTTTTATTAACAAACCAATTTCCTTTATTTTTTGTTTAATGGGTACCTCTTTCATTCCGAAAGTATAATGAATTAAGTGATTCGTAGAAATTAATATATTTAATTTTGTTTTAATTATTAAGTTTGGTAATATACAATGTGATTGCTTGAATATAAATTCAACTTCGCCTGGGCAGGATGTTACGGCCGTTTGTATTTTTATTAAACTCTTCAAGTAAAATTGGTTGCCTACAGTCCACGTTCATAAATCAATTTAATTTTAATTATTTTTATTAAAAGATATTTTTAAGCTCATGTCGAAAAAGAGAACCAGTCCGTTTTGAACCTTCGTATTAAAAACCACGGTTTTTTTGTGTGTAAAAATTGGTGCCTGTTTGATAAACAATTTCACCGCAAATTAATTAAAAAATTAGTGATTTACTACTTAGAGTAAATTAAAGGATTATTGGTAAGCCATAAATCCCAATTTTTC